GCGTCAGGTCCGAATCGTGCCAGATCGGGTCGCTCGAGATTCGTCTCGGCGCATCCGCCGTTTCCTTCGCATCGGTACTCGGATCGATAGCAATACACGTGGATTTTTTCCAGCTGCGAGGCCCAGACTCAGAAATGAGATTCGCCCTTTGTCACATGCTGGTTCCGTTTGTCGTCGCTGCGCTCCCGCCGCTGTGCGTTTACGCTCTCTGGGACCGCGATCGGTCCCGCGACGTTCGCCGGCAGTTAGTCGGCGGCGAGAGAATTCGCCGCGCCGAAACGGGCGCGATACCCGTCGCCGCGTTTTCTAATCCGTCAACAGATCCGGTTCCCGATTCCACCGAGAAGCGTAGCAACGGCCGGCGGGGCTACCGGCGAACGACAAAGCTGGGGCTCGAGAGAATGCGTTGGATGGTTTGCGAGCAAGATACCCGGAGAGGAGTCAGAATCGCGTAGCCTCGCAGCCGCGCGTGCGACAATGAACAAATGACGCGACACGAGCCGCATGGCTTGCCAGAGAAACACCGGTTAGCTCGCTTGATTCTCGCAAGCACCGAAGCTTGTTTGGCAAGAAGCTTCGCTCAGGAAGCCTCTCTGTGAGGACATGCGCGTTCAACTTGGCCGTGCCAGCCGGACCGGAGCGGAGTCGGTTCGCGCGCCGGAAAAAAAGCTGCCCGGTTATCTCGGTCGATCCGACGAGTCGACGTCGGGCGCGTGTCAACAATACAGCCTTTATTGCGATCGAGTGTCCTCGTTCGTCGTTCACGCCGCGTCGTTCTCTGGTTTTTGGTGCGTGCCGAAAAATCCCGCGGCCGCCTTTCGAAAGCGCCTCTCCAAAGCCAGACCACCCGATTGTCGAGACCCGTCCCTTTTGGTTTCGTGTATGCGCGAAAACAGTGGCGTGGCACGTTCGAAGCTGAAGGCCCACGTTTGTGCTTTGTCAGTTCGATCTGCCTCGCGTTGCATTCGTCGGGGTGGAAGGTTTTCGTGTTCGGGTCACTGTGTTTCGTGCCGGTTCTCGGACCGGAAACAGGCTTCCATGTATCTCGTGTCGAAACGTCGCGGGGATCGTTGTCCCTCTAGCGTCGTCGGCACCCAGGATCTTTTTTTTTTTACTAAGGGGGCAGTAGAATTTTCGTGGAATTTTCGGTGCTGACGCGACAGCGTTTCGATCACGATTTCACGGTTTTTGGTTTTCTTTCTTCTTTCTTTTTTTTTGGTTTTTGCGTTTGGAAGACTGTTTCGTCGCGAAACGACGGCTACGAACATGGAGTTCTATATCTTTGTCGCAACATTACTAGTATCCATGCAAGTTTCATGCAAGGTGTTGCTGCACGGAGACTCAAACGTCGCGGACAGAGGAATATTCGTCTTCGTTTTCGGTTCTTTTTTTCTCCGCGGTGTCGAATCGTTCGAATCGTTCGAAAACAACGGTTTCGTCGGTGATCTTTAGGCTCGACGGTTCGCCGCGGAAATGTTCCTCTGTCGCAGCCGTTAACACACTATATCGAAGGTGCTACAATCCATGCACTCAGAGTAGCCTCTTTCTACTTGTGAACACACTCCTGCTAAATATGTGATTGCTGAACTCGCTAGTCTACCGTGTGACACAGCCGCTTTTGCGCGCACTCTCGAAAGATCAACTTTCCGAAGCCGAATTTTCGCGAATTCGTTGCCAATCGACCGAGCTGCGATCGCGATCTTACGAACGGTGGATCATTCTTCGTCTCTCTTCGTACAAATTCTGTTGCGAGAAGAACTAAAGACGTATCTCTTTTCGATCGAACAGACTATCGTTGATTTACATAATCCGGTAATTTCGTAAAAAATGTCTGTAGATGTTCCGAATTGTACAAATTTACCAAGTAATTATTTAATTGTTAAATAATGAAGGTACCATTAACCAGTTAACTGTGACCATCTCTTGGCAAAGCGCCCACCAGTGTGTGTCGCGATAAGCTCTCGTGTCGCGACGACTTAGCTCTCAGGAAGTTATGAATCCAACTCAAATTATTTACAATTTTCATTTTTGTTTGTTTCATTTCGTCTTGACCTCTAAACATTTTAACACTAAACCTACCACGGTCAAAATGACCGGTTTTTTTATTTTACGATACTACGAACTCTTTGGAGACTTCTTCGTAGGAAATGATTGAACAAATTATATTATTGAAACAGGTCTCATAATTAAAACTTTGCAAAATCCAAATGAATTCTATCTTTTCGCTCTTACGAGTCAATGCACGCTAATCGTCATTACTGCTCGGTTGGTTTAAGTGTTAAACATATTAAAATTTACGAATATAATTTAGTTCTCGCCAGAATTACAATTTAAATATGAAATTGTAACAAAATTTTACGAATGACGGATATAATCGTCGTGACGCAAAATTCTGCCGCATCTCTATGGCGGATATAGTCGTCGTCGAACACACTTAACTGGTTAAATTTATCGATTTCACTGAACGAACAAATTCACGATTCGATCTTACAATTATCGAGTTCGAAGATCTTGCTGAACGATCGCAGTGTCAAATAGACAGTTGCAAATTCAAGAACACATCTTGAGATCGCAATCTGACTGAACACCGACTTGAATTTCGCCACGTAGAGATTTTCCATAATTTTCTACGCAGCTAATGTATGTATACATTTGAAGTGTATCTATATATATTCTCGAACAGTTGGTCAGCTTGTCCGATTCGTGACGATAATCTTTCGAGAGAGGCGCGCGGGCGAGTGAACACGAGAAACGTAGAACACGAAAATGCTGTTGTCGGTGCTCGCTGGCTGCCGTCGATGCCATCGACGACGTTGGTCGTCGGTACGGTCTGAAATGACACGGTCTGATCGTGGTCTACCACAAGCTAAACGTGTTTACCGTTCCCGTTTTATATTCTTTTCTCTTTGACCGGCCGTTTCACGCCGTTCGTGTGCTATAACGCGCGAAATCGCCAGACCGTCTCGTTCCAAACGGCGAATGATTCGCGTTCGCGGGACGTTGCAGTGACGAAGAACAATGGGCCGGTCTGGCAACAGCGAGAGAGATTCAGAGAGAAACGTTCCAACGAGGCGGGTCGATTAGTAAAAAGTCGAATAGCAAAAGTTTCGAACGGGGAGCAAAATTTGTGCATAGACGTCGAATGTCGCGTTCGCGTTTCACCGTTCTGCCAGAGTTTCGTTCGCTTTCCAAAACGTTCCCGAACAAAATGACCGCTACCCCGTTCATGCTACGAGTATGTACAATGTTAGAAGTCGACGTCTGAGCTTGTCCCGCCGATTCCGCGACCGTACGCGATCAGTAAATCGCGATCTTTCGACGCTTCGACCGGTACAAACGCGGGTCTCGATTCTATCGGCGCGTCGAAATTACGACGTCTGATCCGAACGCGCCGGGCAACGATCGACCTCTATGCATCGGGACGACTGTCCGTGACATCTCTCTGCGACCACACTCGTATATTCTCCGTCACTTTCGAAAGAACGTCCACGAGAAACGATTCCCGGCGGCAAGACGCGCGCGCGCGTCGGGAAGGAAAGCTGGCTAACGCGAAACGTAACGCAGAACCAAAGGCCTGCCGACTATCCCATGGCCTTGCAACGATCGGTGCAACGTTCCGCGAGTGTTCGTTGTACCCTACGTCACGTAGTTTCGTGTTCTATGATGGCTTGAGGAATCAATGGCGGAGGAGACTGGGTGCGGAAAGAGGGCGACGTCAAGCGGCTGAGACATTACTCTACTGAAGAAACATTCAGACGAACCACAGTGTATGATGCTACATAATTGGCCTAGGTGTCCTGAGTACAGTAAATCCTCCGGCAATCGTCGCTCAATATTAATCGCAATACAACAATTTAACCTCGCGGCTCGTCTTCGCAGTCGTCGATTCTCAGCGACCATGAAAACGAGCCGCGCGGCTCGCGGAATCGCGACTCCGAAATTGTCAGTTTCTCTGTTCGAGCGACGATCGGAGGGAGAATTCGCTGCACACCTCCGAGTGATCACGGGGATGCAGAATGAGAATCAGACAGAGTTGCTCGGAAGATGCAATGAACGCAAGAGGGTCGGAATGAACGAACTGAACGCCGTTGAAAAAAAAACCTCATGCAGAATCCCAACAGAAACTCGGTATTCCGGTAAACGTAGCGAAGATCGAACGGTGTCCGGACGTCGTCCCGCGTAGCAGAACTTCCCGGACAGTTCGACTTTGACGGCCCTTCCTTCGAGCCGAAAGCACGTCGAAGGTCTCGAGCGGATTCGTTGCCGGAAGGGAGTCATAATCGCCTTGACCCGGCCTCCGCGGCGGCCGAGACATGATCGGCGCCGCGAGGGGTCGAAGTGCTGCTAGCTTCGTGCAAGACGGACGAGAGCCTGAGGAACGAGAATGATCACAGATCGCGGGTGCAAGTTTTCAACGGGGACAAAACCGGCAAACTCTGGTTTCCAGTGCACTTATCACGAACCTCGTTGCAGCAATGCCGAACGGTGTTCTCTCGGGTGGCGACCAAACAAAAGGTAAAGGGCTCGTGATAAAATCGTGAGAGTGATAGAGAGTCGGATGATTTGTCTACACAGAACACGGTCGGGATCTCTCGCTACTTTCTAAGTCGGTGAATGAGAGAAAGAGGGAAAATAGAGAGAGAGAGAGAGAGAGAGAAAGAGAGAGAGAGAATGTGTGCGTCGGGACGAGCGATGCGCAAGATGCAGGATCTTCGGAAGAGAAAGAGAAGATCTCTTCGAGTCTTCTTTCGGGTGAGAGAAATTTTAATTGAAATAGTATTTGCGTTTAGATCATTTGATCGCGATCTCTGTTGTCATTCGCATCATTTGAAACGATACTGACTATTTAAATCGTAACTTTCGGACGACGTCGAATTAATATTCGATCGAATACAAATTTATCCGGACGAAAATATATTTGAATAAAGAATCAGAGCGATGAATTATTCGAATACAATATTCGAATAAAATAATCGACTAAAAGGAAGGCATTCGGATAATTATCTTGGAGAAATATTTATTCGAAACGATGCTTTCTTTCCCGAAGCATGCGGCATCCCGCCCTCCGGAATACTATGGTCGTTGAATGATAACGGTTGATTCGATTCGAGTTGCATCCAAGGGCGGGGCATCGCTCCTCCCGACCGGGAGTTCAGTGTCGCCGGCTAAGAACTAAACGTCTACTGTGGAGATATGATCGGAATCACTGCGGGTGAATTCGAGTAAATCAGTGTTATACAACGTGACCATTGCAACGTTCTACAAAGCAAGCTGGGGCCCCTAATACGACCGAGCGTAGTACTAGGATGGTCGACAGGATGATCAGGAGTACGGGATTCGAACACGAGGTCGGGGACACACGATTGCACATATCCTCCTCACAGAAGCACATGTGACCAGTGCCGGTACTTTCCATCATGCACACGTGGTCCACCATGAACAAATTTATTTGTAGCTGCGAAGTGCAGGTCCGTCTCACACTTTCGTACGCTGCGAACAAAAAAGAAACGAGTCGTTCTTAATCATCTGCGACGAATGCCGTCGCCGTGATGTACGCGCGGCGAGGAAAGACTAATTACTGTCGTGCAATTACTTCTTACGAGCTGCGTGATCAGGACATTGGTAAGAGAAATTTCAATTGAAATAGTATTTGCATTTAGAACACATTTGAAACATCATTTGAAACAATACTGACTATTCAAAACGTAACTTTTAGACGACGTCGAATTCATATTCGATCGAATAAAAATTTATCTGGACAAAAATACAGTGTGTCCCAAAGATGTCCCGTAATACGGAAATGGCGGGTTCTTCGGATCATTTGAAGCAGCTTCTTCCTTTACAAAAATGTTCTCCGAGGCACCGTTAACGAGTTATTAACGAAAAACAGTGACCAATGAGAGGCGAGCTCGGCTGGCGCTAGGCGGCCGAGTCAACAGCGCCAGCGGTCGAGTGGCCGAATACCAGCTCAGCTGGCGCGAGGCGACCGAGCCAATCAGCGGAACTGGGATTCGACCGCTCGACCGCTGGCGCCGTTGACTCGGCCGCCTCGCGCCAGCTGAGCTGGGATTCGACCACTCGACCGCTGGCGCCGTTGGCTCGGCCGCCTCGCGCCAGCTGAGGTCACATTGGTGACTGTTTTTCGTTAATAACTCGTTAACGGTGCCTGGGAGAACATTTTTGTAAAGGAAGAAGCTGCTCCAAATGATCCGAGGAACTCGCTATTTCCGGATTGCGAGACATTTTTGGGACACCCTGTATATTCGAATAAAAAATTGGAGCGATGAATTATTCGAATAAAATATTCGACTAAATGGAAGGCATTCGGATAATTATCTTACATTTAACTAAAAGGAAGGTATTCAGATAATTATCTTAGACAAACATTTATTCGAAACTATCCGAACAATGCTAAACTTTGCCACAGCCAATGTATTATTCTACGTTTAATACAATGCTAAAAATTATTTTTTGTTACACAATGTAATGAAATAAAACAAATTAGAGAGCGATCGATAAATTAACAGTCCTGAGCATTAAGTCAATCGAGTAATTGCAAGACAGAGTTAAAAAGATTAACAGATTAATCAAGATAGAGCGGAAAAATAGCAGCGATTACTTACGCGACTTCGCGTTGCGAACCATTTTCACGCAGCAGCCGTTGCAGGTCATCAAGGGTGGTTGGTCCCTCGGAAGCGCGGTGTAATTGAAAGGATCCTTACATCTGAGGTCCGTCCACGAGTCGCATTCGTAGCAGTAAACGGAGCGAGCTGAAAACACCGTCACAATGAAGGCAACCGTATTTTGGTACTGCGGATTCAGATAGAGAAGAGTCAATTGCAAATTTTTTCTTTTTCGAAAATTGCAGAAACACTGCGATATACGTCGGAAATATTTTCGCTTAACCCTTAGCATACGGGCGCGTTTTTTTCGATTACTTTCACTTAAGTGTTAGCATACGGACACGTGTTTCATTGAATAACAATTAAAAATGCTATCTCACAGTGTACGCTATTATTTAATTCCAACAAGCGAGGACAGATTGAAAAATTGAAAATTTTATTATTTGCTCGATCTTGTTTAAAAAATTTGTTTCAGCTATCGATAAATAATTTTTCAATTAACGACTTTCCTTTATTTTGTAGAATAGAATTGACAAATGAATGTTTCAGAATAATTCGTCTTTTCATTAATTTTACAACAGTCACGGAAAGGGTAAAAATAGATATTGCATAAAAGATAAAATAACGTTATTTGAAATCTTTATTTATTATATTTATTATATCAATATAATAATATAATAAATAAATAATAAATAGAATAATATAAAATAAAACTTATAAAATAGAAAACGATAAAAGTAAATATAATAAATATAATAAATAATATACTATACTAATATAATAAATATTTACATAAAAATTTTTATTTATTTGTTGGAAATTTCAAGCGTTCTATTAATTTAACGTATCACCTTGGTATGCTAAGTGTTAACGCGCGTCTCAAATAAAGTTCAAAGGCGAAATCTACGAGCAATTAAGCTATTAATAATTTCCGATCAAAGCGATTACACGCGGCTCGAATTGATAGCAATAGATTTGAATGTGAAGACGTGAGCCCTGCTGTCTAATGTTGACATACAACGATGACAACGAGGGGACACTGAAGAGAAGCTGGCTTGATCACTCACTCTGGCACTCCGCGCGACAGACGGTGGCAACCGCGAGTACAATTGCCGCTGAAACGAAACATCGGTGATTATTTTAAACGATGGTAAACAAATCGGTAACTGCGAACAGCTACGTAAAAACGATAATTCTGAACAACATAAAACGGGTGCACAACGCTAGGACTACCACTAGTTCTTCCTACTGCTACGGTCTTTGCTATCGTCGTGGTTGCAATCTAAAACTTTTAACGGCAGCTACCAACGGAATCGTGGATTTCATGAACCCAAGAATTCAACGATATTTCAATAGGAATCGTTCCGAAAAAACAATTGAATTAATTTTCTTTTCTCTCATAGACATCTTCGTATTTATGTGCCTTGTCATTCGTCACGTTCATCTATCCGACAGCAATTCGTACAGTTAATTAAACTCCAGTCGATCCGATTTCAAATGTCTGCATATTTATGTGCACAAAAATTTCCAGACATTTCGCATTTCACGAAACTTTTGGCCGTCTTCTACGGATAAGAAGTTCGACCGTTTCTGGTACAAAGCGTCGACTGCCAGCATTTAGACTCGCATAAATAGGACAGACAAAAAATTTCACGATTTACGGTCGTAGCTCGGTTATTCGCGAAACGGCGGACGCGGTGCGAACGCGTTTTCTCGCAGAATATATGCTACCCTCGCAGCGCACGCATACTGAACAAGTTACCCCGATTAAACACACTCGGCATCAATGTTCGAAGGAAGTACAGTAATGTTTCCCTTACTGACGCTCAGATTTTCCACTAAATTGGATAATTTGGGAAGAGGAGATACGATTATTCGAACCTTGCGACTCGTTTCTATAATTGTGGACAATTTATAATTATAACAATAATCCGCAGGGCTCGATTAATCTAGGCGTCAATTAGAGAAACATTACTGTACAGTATGTCTCCCTAACTGACGCTTAGATTGTGCAGAAAAATGGACAATTTGGGGGACAGGAGATACGATTATTCCGGCTTTGCACGATGTTTTTATAATCGTTGAAATTTCATCGTTATTATTATATAATAATAATTATTATGATAATTAATAATGATAATATAATATTATATTATAATTGTTATAATAAAATTAATAATAATAATATAATATTATATTATAATTGTTATAATAAAATTAATAATAATAATATAATATTATATTATAATTGTTATAATAAAATTAATAATAATAATATAATATTATATTATAATTATTATAATAAAATTAATAATAATGATATAATATTATATTATAATTGTTATAATAAAATTAATAATAATAATATAATATTATATTATAATTATTATAATAATCGTTATTATTATATAATCGTTATAATCGTTGACAACAACTATAAAAACGAGTCGCAAGGCTCCTCTCCCCAAATTGTCGTCCGAAATTTTTGTGGACAATCTGAGCGTCAATTAGGGAGAGATTACTGTACCGCGATTCCGAATTCCCGATTTCCCGTTCCCGACGCGGTGCGATCGAAAGTCGTCGTCGTCGTCGGCGGCGGCGAAGACTATCGGAGAATTTTCGTGCGCTTCTCGACGGTCGATATTCCCCAGGCAAAACACCCTTTTATTCTATTTTCATACCTTCCAGCACGCAGCGTATCTTTGTCGTGGCATGTGTGGGAAATATTGTAGTTAATAAGAAATTTGATAGTCGATGGTTTCGAGGGGTTCGCCGGCCGTGTTGGCGATTTCTTTTGGAAACTGGATTTCGTACGTACCTCATACGAAGGAAATTACGAAGGATCTATGTACAAAGGAGTCTACGAGTATGCACGGATCGTGTGTGTCGCATTCGCAGCCTGTCGTTGACGATAAAAATAACCGCCGACTTCGCATTTGAAAAATGGGACAGCTGCCGGTGTGCGCGAGAACTTTAGGACACTCTTCCCTCGTTTTCTTTAAATTACATCCCCCGCCTTCCTTAATGATAGAACTATCAGAGCATCGCCGCAGCTATAAAAATTTGTCTATTCAGACGGTCTCGTTTCTTTGGAATGTCCGAAATTATGGACGTTCGCTCATTTAATTGCTATGGAAGATTACGAAACTAACTAACTAGAAGAAACGAAATTGTGAAAATTATCTATTCAAAATATTTACGTTTTTATATATTTTTATTCTATATTATGTTATATTCTATGTTATTCTATATATTTTTTGGAAC